CGATCTAGGGACTCCAGGATCATGACCTGAGCCGAAGGCAGTCGCTTAACCAACTGAGCCACCCAGGCGCCCTGTTCCTAACTATCTTAAGTTTGATGGGCAGTCTTATCTTACAGTTGCTGATCCAACTCATGTGTCTACCTTTTCCTTCACTCCTCTTCTGGAACCAAAGGAGGGGACACATCCATCAGTCTTGGCTTCTGAGATTTATGGGTTATGGCGCTACTAAATTCAACAATAGACTTCACAGTTTGGATAAATGTTAGTCAGACAACCCAGAACAAATGGCAGTAAGACCTATTAGTCTTCAGGGCATGGTGGTGCTTTTGGAAAACCAGGGTACCACATAGTTGTGGCTGTCCTCTCAATGTGGCTAAAAAAGAGGAGGTAATGCCTCTGTCAGACATCTTTGGATGTGCCCTGGGAGAAGAAGAAATGTGCTAGGTCTTCCTTCCCTCTATGGTAAGGCATTCCCTGATGGGAAGATTTGATAGATAGACCCTATAAACATTGATCAGGAAGCTGGTGCAGATTGAGCCTGGTGGGGTATGTGGAGCAGCCTACCAGTCTGCCTACCTTCCCAAGTTTGAGGCCGAAACTGGAGAAGCTCTGATGGGTTCACAGTGTGTGCTCTCATCTACAGGACGTCATGGCATACAATAAATTCAATGTGTTCCACTGGCATCTGGTCGATGACTCTTCTTTCCCATATGACAGCTTCACTTTTCCAGAGCTCACCAGAAAGGTACATCTTAATTTCTCCAAGAGCAAGTTTGTGGTTTGATGTCTGAGCCTGGGCTGTGGCCCTGCTGGCAAGGACACTGGCTCTCATCCTCACCAGCCAGTTTGAGGGACACACTGACTTAGGGGAAGGGCACTGGATTTGGACCAGGAGACCTAAGTTTGAGTCCAAACTTGGCCATTAATTTTCTCTGACAGATAATCTCTCCTAGTCTCATTTTCTTTTTGTTTGTTTATATTCTGCTACCTGCCTACCTGTTGTCTCACTGGCATTATGACACTCAGGTAAAGCAATAGATGTGCTAGCTTATGGGAAATTATGATAAAGATCCTTGGAGATAGTCCCTGATACCAAAGAGCTGTGGGTAGATTTCCTGATATGCAGTGAGTCCTGGAGGCATTTTGAGAATCTTCTACTCTGCTAGCCTTCAGATAAGGACGTTGTTAAGGGTGTCTTGTGCCTTTCAGGGGTCCTACAATCCTGCCACCCATATCTACACAGCACAGGATGTGAGGGAGGTGATTGAATATGCACGGCTTCGGGGTATCCGTGTGTTGGTAGAGTTTGACACTCCTGGCCACACTCTGTCCTGGGGACCAGGTAAGAATAAAGTCAGATAGAAAGAGTCTACTGATCCCCCTCGGTGGGGCTTCAGGGCATTGACTCTTGGATGCAGCATGCCCCGGCCTTGGTCCCTGGAAGAATGTTTTCCATCAGCTCCTTCCACCTGGGACTTGAGGTAGGCAGAACTTACTTTGGACAAAGGAGGCCACTGCTTACTATTAAACTATGGGCAGATTCTTCTCAGATGTTCTTGTTTTAATGATGCTCTTGCAAGTTTTGCCCTAGAGTGGAAGAAAGGTCTTGCCAGTTTGGCTGGATCAGGCAGTCTCTCTCTGCTGCCTAAAGGCAGTATGAGGAGAGCGGCCTTTGGGAACAAAGGTGAGCCCTGCTGTGTGTCAAGGCTAGAGTGTGTGTGTTGATAGCCGTCTGGCGGTAACCCATCTCTGTCTATGATTGTGGATATACTTATTTCTTTGTGACTAAAAGCTCATGATCACCAGCGTCTGTGAGTGCCTGATGGTCCCTACCTATGTACATGTAATGTTTATGAACATGATTATCTTACTTTGTGCAGCTTAATGTCCTTAAGTATATGACAGTGTGGGGGTCTATGTATTTGTGACACTTGTGTGGGATTCTCTGTCGGCTTAGGTGTCCCTGGATTATTGACTCCTTGCTACTCTGGGTCTCATCCCTCTGGCACCTTCGGACCAGTGAATCCCATTCTCAACAGTACTTATGAATTCATGAGCACATTTTTTCTGGAGGTCAGCTCTGTCTTCCCGGATTTTTATCTTCACCTTGGAGGAGATGAGGTTGATTTCACCTGCTGGTATGATCCCTTTGATCTTCCCATCCCTGCCTGATGAATTGCTCACTCAGAGTAGAGGTTAGCTCCTAAGACGCTACCTACCTTAGGTGCTCCTCAGGGGCTAACCTCTGAGAACAATCTGTCTCCGTCCAGATGGCTCAGGCCTTGGGCCTTTCCTCTCTCCACCTACATCAGGGCCCTCCCTGATTTTGGCAAGGCTGTGAATGTGAAACTGTCCCTTTTTCCTGTCATATTCTTGATATACTTAGGGAAGAACCAGGTCTCGGAACAGAATTGTCTTGGGAAAGTCCATGATAGAGAAAAATAATCCCCGCCTTTGTAAAATAGTCTGGTTGAAGGGTCAAGACACAGATGAATTTGACACTAATGTATGAAAGTGTCTAGTCAGTATTAAAGTGTAAGGTCCAAACCTTCAGATCTACTTTGCTCAAAAGAGGCTGATGGGCTTCTCTGAGAAGTGGACATTAGAGCTGGATCTGGGTGAAATAGGCTTTTCTGAGAAGTGGAGGAGGGGGGAAACATTCCAGGAAGAAATGTGAGCAAAATGTAGACGTTCTTGGGGGAGGGAGCTGCAGCAGGTAACAGCAACACTTAACATCCAGCTGGAATAAAGAATAAATGAGAAGAGCAGAATATGCCTGAGTGTGGGGGGTTAAACAGGGAAGCCAGAATCCAGTGTGCCAGAGCCCCAGACCAAGACCTCAGAGCCACATGCTGTAGACCAGACAGGTTAATACGTGTTCTTGTTGAGAGTTTAAATTGAAAGCTCTTGGGGTCGAAACTCCTCCTTGCTCAGCCTATGTCAGTGGCCCCCTTCACACAGCTTTGTTCAGCCACACCTGCCATATTTGGGGCCTCTGAGATCCGAAGTTGATTGGTTTTTCAAGTGAAAAAAGAAGTTGTGGGAGGCCAGGTGACTAATCCCCAAGCTTTGGACTTTGAGGATGTTGAAAGAATTAATCTTCATTTTCTCTTGGGATTCAGGAAGTCCAACCCAGATATCCAGGCCTTTATGAAGAAGCAAGGCTTTGGTAATGACTTCAAGGAGCTGGAGTCTTTCTACATACAGACGTGAGGAAGGAAAGAGGGTGGGCAGGGTTTCTTGGGGTTACCTTCTGTGCAGTCCTCCCTTTCCATACCAGGGCCAGGCCCTGCTTGACCACTCTCTAGGCCCTTGGAGGGGTACTTTGTCCTATCTTTTCAACTTTGGAGTAGTCCGTTCCCAACTGGGGAAGACACTGCTCAATCAGGAACGAGTCCCTAGGCAGCCTCAATCCCTTGAGCACCGGCACCAACAGCCTAGAACCTATTTGAGCTGAGCAGACCCTTTCTTTACTCTCCAGGCTGCTGAACATCGTCTCTGCCTATGGCAAGGGCTATGTGGTGTGGCAGGAGGTGTTTGATAATAAAGTAAAGGTGAGCCAGGGGCAGAGAGAGAAGGAGCCACCTACAGTGCTTCCCTCTGGTCTCTCAGCCCTTCTCTGCCTCTGCACAGACTGGTCCTCCCTGGGTTTGGATTAGGCTTTAATATTCAGAGCACTGAGGGGCCATCTCTCCTTTCCCCTCCAGAAAGGTCACAGAGGTCTAAGCCCTGGGTGTGAGTGTCAGAATATCTGTCTCTCTTCCCTCACCACAAACTGATCAAGAGTTATTTCTGCTGCCAGGTTACTTAGGATTCCTGAGACTGGCATGCTGGGTTGGCTTTTCCTTTCTGAGTCATAGACTAGGGTCTTCCAGGTTTGGGAGCAGGGCTACTTTCTCCTTCATTGTTGATCAGTTAGGTCCCAGCCTCTTGCCAAATGCAGGGGCTCTGCAGGAACCTTGTCTCATCCTCAGAAACATCTGGAGATTCTTGGACATGGTAGCTCTTGATGAGTCTCCCTTGCTTGTCTCCCACTGCTTGTCTCCCTTAGCTCACAGCCAGTGTTACTGTCTCATTCCGGACAAGGAGGCTGCAGAAGGACTGGGGGTGGAAGCAGCAGGGAGGACTCCTAGGGCCTACAGAGTCCTTGGCTTCTGTTCTGTGCTAGGCGCCCAGGGGTTAGGAGTCACAGAGAAATGCTTAGCTGCTTGAGAGCAGAGTGGGCACATATCCCTTGGCCTGGGTTGTTTGTATCAGCATGTGGGCCAGAAATCTCAGCTATGTGCCATTAATTTTCTGACAGGTTCGGCCAGATACAATCATTCAGGTATGGCGAGAAGAGGAGCCAGTACGTTATATGAAGGAGATGGAGCTGATCACTGGAGCTGGCTTCCGCGCCCTGCTCTCTGCCCCCTGGTACCTGAATCATATAACTTATGGCCCTGACTGGAGACAGATCTACATGGTGGAGCCCCTGGAATTTAAAGGTGAAAGCAGGGAGCTCTCCTTGCTGACCAGAGGAGGCTGGGCTGGTGCACAGAGCGGGAGACAGGAGGGTCTGGGCTAGACCTTTCAGGTGAGATGAGATATGAGCTCTCTGGAGAGGGGCCTACATTAGGAAGGTGGTTGGGGGGAAACCCTAGGGTTACCACCTCCTCCCCTCACCAGCAGCGGCCTGTTGGTCCTTGTTTCCCCTTAGGTAGCCCTCAGCAGAAGGCTCTCGTGATTGGTGGAGAGGCCTGTATGTGGGGGGAGTACGTGGACAGCACCAATCTGGCCCCCAGACTCTGGTAAGGGCTTCCTGAGGATGTGGGTGGTTGAGCTTGTGGGCACGGGTTCTTCCTTATAGACTCGCTCCTGTCTAGTCGCCCCCAGACAAGTGCCCTCCTTCCAGGCCTGAGAGAGAAGGAGCTGTACATTTTGAGAGCACCTGCTGCTACTGTCAATAACAGTTCATGATCCCTTTACAACTTACTCTGGTTCCATATCTCTGGGAGAGGATGGGAATGGGATCATGATCCACCTCTTAATGAAGTTGGAGCTGAGCCCTAGAAGTCCCCAGGAGCCCCCCAGCCAGGTTGTCGCTCTGAATGACCTTGGCCCTGAGTGCAGGGTGCCTAAATAAGAGGCAGCAGCCTGTGAGTGTCCGGCTCCCTTGAACGGAGCCAACCTGGTGCGTGACCCTTCCCTCTAGGCCCAGGGCAGGGGCTGTTGCTGAGAGGCTGTGGAGCAACAAGTTGGTGACTAGCCTGGACTTTGCCTTTAAACGTTTGACACAATTCCGCTGTGAGCTCCTAAGGTAAGCAAGCAGGCCGTGTTGGGGCCTTCCCACAGTGGGTGGGCGGATTGAGGACTTACAGGAACAACAATAGCGAATGCTGACAGAGGCTTACTTTGTGGCAAGCACTGTGCTGAGCCCTTTATGGGCATTATTTCATTGAATCTTAACCATAACTCTGGAACGTAGGCAGTTTTATCCTCCCTTTAGAGATAGGCAGCTGAGGCACAGAGAAGTTAATGTAAAGCCCCAAATCACTCAGAACCAGAATTTGATCCAAGCCAACTTCAAAGTCTATGCTCTTAGCCATGGCCATGCTTTTATGGGCTCTCCTGGCGCCCCGTGCCACTGTTGGGGATGGGCCTGCATAAGGTGGTCATTTCCCTGATTTATTCATCGACTAAGTCTTGAGGACCTGGAGGACGCAGCCTAGTGCAGGGCTGAGAGCCAGCCGTGGCAAGGTCTAGGCCTCAACTGTGGGTAATTCACCGGGCGACTGAGCTAGTTCCCTACCATCTCTACGTACCTTGCTCGTTTGAATAATAAAGAAGGCATGCCCAGGGGTCCCCTATGGAGACTGGTCACATCCTGGAACTTGTGAGGCTAAACGGGATTTCATGTCCACACCCCGTGCGTGAACAGGACAGCACGTTGGTCCCCCGCCGCCACTGCATTTACAGCATTTGAGCCATTTTAGGGGGGCTCGGTGGGCCAAGAGCACTAGGCACCCCTAGGCATCAGCTCTTTTCTGAAGGTGCTGCGTTATTTGGAACTCGGGTACAGAGGCGGGTTAGAAAGAGGTGTCCCCCCAAATTCCCGGATGTCCCTGTGGGGCGCCTGTTCAGAATGCAGATTCTTGCCAACACGTGAGCCCAGGCCAAGTAAGAATCTCTGGAAATGCGATCCCTGAGTAATTCTGGTATACAGTGGCAGTTCAAGATGCACTGGGGGAGGGGAAGGGGAGACTGCTGGTTGTGGTAGAGGTGTTGCGGGGGCCTTGGACTGCCCCTGTCTCAGTGGCTCATCTCGCCCTGTTTCTTCATGTCCTCTTGCAGGCGAGGTGTCCAGGCCCAGCCCCTCAGTGTAGGCTACTGTGAACAGGAGTTTGAACAAACCTGAGCAAGCAGCCCCAGGCACTGAGGAGGGTGCTGGCCCTAGGAGATTGGGAGTGGGGCCAGGCTTCCACTGCATCCCGGCCGGGGGACGGAGCCCCTTGCCCACGTGCCCCTGTGCACGGAGAGAAGGGGGCCAGTGTTGGCACTAGCATCCAATAAAGAGTGATGTGGCATTTTTCCATAATGAACATGGATTACCTGTGTAAGAGAAATGTGACTGGCCCTGGGGTAGGGAGCTGCCTGCCCTGGCCTTCTGCTCCCGGGAGCGACAGGGCGCAGCAGCCCAGCCAGGCTGGGATCAGTGTCGACCCCTGGAGGAATCTCAAAAGTTGACAGCTGGGAATGAAACCCTGCGCAGCCTCTGAGCTGTGTGACGCCTCTCCCACCCCCCGACACTTAGTCTAACCACATACCCCCATGCTCAGTCTGCTCACTTCCCTTCCCTCCAAGTGCAGAGGTCACTTAGGCCTCCAAGGCTTCTGTGTATGGAAGAAGGCATTAGAGTAGCCCCAGGAAGTTCCGGGGAGTGGCAAGGGCTCCAGACCCAACCTAGTTACAGAGCAGCCCTCCCCCATGCATACTCACACACTTCCTTCCCCTGGAGCTTTTCTTCTGCTTTGGGTTTCTTGTTAGTTCAGTTTCATGCAACCATTATTTTAATAATATTGAACATACATTGTGGTCTTGACCCTGTGTTAGGTGTTGCATTTGAAGGATTTGGTCCCAAGAGGCCCTGGTCCACTCCCCAATATGCCAGCAACTTCCACCCACCTCCTCCCATCCATTTGCAGCCCATTAGCATCTTCTCAAAGACTTGATGGCTCAGCCGAAGCCATGAGGGGACAGCCCCTGAGGGCCGGGAGGTGGGCAAGTGGCTCTGGTAGAGGGTCTTTGCACATGTGACCCGCTTTGCCTAGGAAGAAATGACTCACTGTTGGGCCAGACTGCCCCTTGGTGGTTTCGTGTTCAGAACCAATGATGCAGGGGCACCTGGGGGGCTCAGTCGTTAAGCGTCTGCCTTCGGCTCAGGTCATGATCCCAGGGTCCTGGGATCGAGCCCTGCATCGGGCTCCCTGCTCCGCGGGAAGTCTGCTTCTCCCTCTCCCACTCCCCCTGCTTGTGTTCCCTCTCTCGCTGTGTCTCTTTCTGTCAAATAAATAAATAAAATCTTAAAAAAAACAGCAGCAGCAGCAACGATGGCAGTCCAGAGGCTTGGCCAACAGTAGGCAGCAGCTGTTCTAGATGAGGATTTCTTTGACGATGATTTAATTCTTTTACCTGGTCCTGGGTTGCAAGGGCAATGGAGAAGTCTCAGACATTTCTTTCAGAAGGTTTCTAGTCTGGTGGACACAGAAACTTGGGGAAGACAGGCTGAGAAGGGGTCTGAGTAGAATTTGGTCCGTAAACGACATCTTTCGGTCCCTTTATCACGCTCCCGTGGGGACCTGGTTGGAGGTATACCAGCCCTGCCTTCTTGTGCTGTTTTTACAGGGACAGGGTGGGCATCTTCTGTCTGCAGAATCCTCTTGGGGACAGGGTCTCCATACAGCCCAGGTTAGCCAAGCCCAGGGCTCTGGCCTGGAGAGATACAAGCTAAGCCTCTACCATCTGCACTACCAAAGGAGCCCCCTTACCTGGGACCCTGAAATGCTGCTCACTTTAAGTGCCCCTGCTTCCTTCCTGATCATAACTGTTACTTTTTGAGATAATGTGAAGTAAAAAGATCAGATACTTAGGTTGTCTCAGTCAAGTCAAGGAAGAGGCCATGAAAACACTGTTGCAGCAGTTCATTTCTATGATTTCTTATTCCTATTATTATAAACATTTTCTGCAATGTTACTATTTTTACAATTAAAACAAACTCGTGTGGCCCAGTCAAGACTTTCACTTGTGGGATGTGCCGTTCCCCAACCTCCACCATTGCTCCCTTGGGCCCACTGATCACGAGCACATTGACCTGAAGATCCTCATCAGACCTGGAACCTATGGGGGGTCAGAGGCAGTGCCTGCAGCAACTGCCCAGTCTGTTCCAGTGCACAGAACCACTGCTTCTCCATCTCCTCTTTTACTTGGGCAGCGCATTCAGTGCCCCACCCTGCACCGGGCCGGCCGCCTCCAGCCTGCTCATGTTCCTTGTGCACCACCAGGGGGCGAGGAAGTGGCCCGATGGATTTCCTGATTCTTCATCTTAGCGCAGGGTCCGTGCTGCTCTCTTAGGAATCTTAGTACAGATGCAAAGCAGGCCTAATGGGGATACAAGTAAAGGAGTGAATGGAGCCTGGGAGGACATGCAGCGTCCCCTCTCCCTGGTAGGAGCTGAGATCAAGTGCCAGATAGCCCACACCCTTGGAATCTAGGTGCACCTCAGTGCATTAGCAGAGGGATGGGAAAGCAGAGGACCTGACGGCACAGGGGAATAGCAGGGGCTTCAGAAAGCCGAATGATAATGGGAAAGGGTGAAAAGGGGTTCTGTGGGTATAGACTGACTTAATTTGTACGGATGTACATATACACACATGGTGGCAACATTGCTGCACTCTAAAGTTTAGGTTTTTATAGTTTTGTCAACATCACTTGTAAGATTAATCAATACAGGCCATGACAATTGTGTTTCATATACTTTTTTTTCCCCACTAAGAAAGAAAATAAGTAGGAACTGGGTACTTTGTCTGTTAAAATCATTCTGTATTTTTTCTTATAAATAAATAAACTCTGAAAATTTGAAAATTAGTATCCTTTTATTCCAACTGTTAATAAATGTATACATAAATACATATTAACCAGTTTCAGTGAAATGTTTACTTGTTGAATTTTTTCATTACTATTCACTCTGTATATAAATCTTTACAGTCCTCACGGTTGTTTTTAAAAATCCTTTTTGCAAAAAAAAAAAAAAAAATCCTTTTTGCAGCAGTCCGTGTGTGTGTGTGTTCTCCTGCATTTTTCAAAGAGATTTTTAAAGTGAAAAAGTCTGTGAGTCTTGCTTATTTTCACAATAATTACTGTACTCTAACCACATCCATGTTATGTCTTCTCTACCACAGTAACTACTTATATTTTTTCATGATTTCAAATGTTTCAAGCAAATGGAAAAGTGTAGAGAATAAAATAATAAACACAGTATAACCACCACCCAAATTTACCACATCTCAGTAGTTATATTTGCTTCAGATTTTTTTAAAAGAGATGAGATGTTATATATGTCCCTTTCCCAGTCCCTTCCCAAAATAACCGCTTTCTAGAATTTATTTTAAATCTCATTTTCTTTGGAGTATCTGATAATTAGCTGTGATTTTTCTTCATTGTTAATCATTTTTTTATAGCTCACTTTATAGCAAATTAGGGATATTTGAGAAGGCATCCCCAAAAGAGGAGACAGAGAGAGAGTGTGTGTGTGTGTGTGTGTGTATGTGTGTGTGTGTACCAGCCGGCAGGCAGACACAGGCTGGGAAGAGGGGCATCTCTGCTGTGCTGGGGTGCTGCTGAATGTAAGAGAAAGCATGTTGGAGGTATCTGGATAATCTATTATAAGAGAGAAGATGTTGAACATAGGAATTTTGAGAGAACTATGTGGATGTTTAGACTCACATAAATCAGAAATTTGAATGAAGATGCTTGTGAAGATCCATCTAGGGGAACAGTGCTTCTTCATTTTTATGTGCTTTCTGTGTCAGGCACTGTTATAAGTACTTTATTGGATATTAACTTATTTAACCCACTTCCTAACCAGTGAGTTAGGTATCAATATTATCCTCACTTTTTATTTTACTTTTTATTAGCTTCAGACAGGTAAGGAAACAAAGATTAAATGGTTACACAGTTAGGCTGAGTCAGGATTTGTACTTAGGCAATATGGATCGAAGCTTACCTGGTTAATTCTACCTTACACTGCACCCAGCCATTAGCCACTACCCCACACCGCACTCTTCTGCTCTTGGACACTATGCTCAGGCACATGGATAGAGCCGAGTACTCAGCTATATCGGCTCTAGTCCATTTCCTCTCGCCTTGCTCTTCAAACCTTTTCCTTATGAATGGTTCCTTTCTCTCTGCACACAGGCATAATATGTCAGTTTTCTGCTTTTAATTTTTCAAAATCGCCCCCTTGTCCAATTCACTTAAGGTATGCTAGTTTTCCCCTTCAAAATGGGGTGTCTCTTGAGCTCTGCATCATTTCCTGACATTCTACCTGTATTAGGACTCCTTGAGTTGCAAGGAAACAAACTGGTTTAAGCAAAAAAACATAACATTGACTCATGTAATTGCATACGTCATGTAACAGGAGTCAACAATTATATGATCCTAGGAATAAATCTAATAATATAGAGAGAAAACTATTAAATTCCTGAAAGACACAAGAAGACCCAAATGTAAATAGGTAACATGTTCATGAGTGAGAAGACTCAACATTGTAAGGATTTAAATATGATCTGTAGATTCCATGTGATTCAAATTAAAATCCAAGTTTTAGTTTTTATGCTACATTGGTCTAACAGGTAACAGTTTGTTCAAAATAATATATTTGGTTATTATAGCTTATAAATGAGATAAATGATAGTAATGTTATCACGGATGGGAGGGAAGAATTGGAAATACTCTGTTATAAGGCTCTTGTACTACTTGTGAAGAAGTATGGTGTTATTTAAAAGTGGGTTTGGATTAGTTGTAAATGTATTTCACAAGAACTAGAGCAACCACTAAAAAGAAAGTGTAACTGATGGGCTAATAAAGGAGAGAAAATACAATCATAAAATGCCCAATTAAAACCATAAAAGGCAGGAAAATAGAATACCAAAAATAGAAACAATGAAGAAGGGCAACAAATGGAAAACAGTAACAAATATGTTAGATAGTAATCTAGCTTTACCAATAATCAGTTTAGGTATGAATGGTCTAAATACACCAGTTAAGGGTGCCTGGGTGGCTCAGTCGGTTAAGCGTCTGCCTTTGGCTCAGGTCATGATCCCCGGGTCCTGGGATTGAGCCCCACAACAGGCTTCCTGCTCAACGGAGAGCCTGCTTCTCCCTCTCCCCCTGCCCCTCCCCCAACTTGTGTGCTCTCTCGCTCACTCAAAATCTTTTTTAAAAAAATTTAAAAATAGGGGCGCCTGGGTGGCTCAGTCGTTAAGCGTCTGCCTTCGGCTCAGGTCATGATCCCAGGGTCCGGGATCGAGCCCCGCATCGGGCT